TTAATTTTCATTTTGGTGCTTATTTGTTTTTTTTTCTTTTTTTTTACTTAGCCGGTAACGAGAAAGCCACAGCAAGGCGCAATTCTTCCATCTTTTCCGTTCCGGTGTGCCTCGTTCCCGGAGTTTCCGCTGCGCCAGAAACGGTGGCACTACAATGAGATATAGCTCGGCGCTTCAGCATATTTTGTATCACCACTCCATTTGCAATATTACTGAAGAACACGGGTAATTTTTTTTAATGGTACCTTCTCGTCGGTTCGTTCTGCAGATTTTGGATACCAGCCCAACTTCTATCACGTCAGGATTCCTGAAAGGCGGGGGGGGGGGGGGGGGGGGGGCGGGTCAGATGGTTATAGGAATTTTAGAGGTCTACACGAACCAAAAAGAAGGAACTGGGCAATGTGTAAGCCAAACATCTGTCCTTCTACATAGCAAATATATCTGTTATCTGGACAAGTGCTGCATTGGCCATGATGGTGTGGAGATGCTGTTGTTTATTTTGGAGTTAATTTTCGAGAAACAAATTTAAGTTGAGAGTAAGCGCTTGTCTAGTGAAAACCTTCTACTTCTTTTTCGCTTCCTGTGCGCTGTGTCGAATCTACTAAGCACGAAACAACTATCTGCCATCGCACCCTAGTTGAATAGCAGGCGCTGAAGGAAAGCGCAATCAGCTGTTTGTAGTGCACTCTCAGAAATGGGGGTGTGCAGGGGTACACCTCTTGTCCCATATGTAACACCCCAAAACTACATTTTGACGTTCTGCCCACGGACGTCGAGCTGGCGATACCAACGTTTACGAGCGGCTTGATAATCAAGCGATACAACTTATTAAAATACCTAATGTACTTTTAAAAGCTACAGTAAGACAATAATTTTTTTTTGACCCGGCTTCTTCTTTTTGTGTGTGTGTGTGTAGCGTTCGGTACGCTCATTAGAGGTTATATACAACAGCTATCAAGCCGTTCGTAAAGGCTGGTATCGCCAGCTCGACATCAGTGGACAGAACGACGAAATGCAGTTATGGCGAGTTACATATGGAACAAGGGGTGTGCCCCTGTACACCTCCTTTTACTGAGAGTGTGACCCTGCCTCATAAACGGAGCGCGCAAGCTCCGCACAAAGTGGATAGTTAGGTCGGGATCGAAACTGTTCTCCATTACTTTCTTTGCATAACACTCAACCTTGAAAGCCACCTTTTTTTCAGTAGCTTGCACGACGCGACACTGAAGTTACGATTGAGTGACTGAGTCGACTGAAGGAACCGATTCGACCGAGGCGGTCTATCCATCCTTGAAGATATATAGACCAGCTAGGCCGTTCGTATCGTAGACAGTTGCTTTTGTTGACCCTCCAGGGTCATCCTCAACTGTTTCGAACAAAATGTGCATGCGAAGCGACGATAGAAGTCGCGTTCAGAATGGCGAAATGCTGAAAAAGAGAACACGCGTAAACACATGGACCTAGTGACACGCCAGGCGCTGGCGCGGACGACGGAGCGACGGTCGCGGAGCCCTTAAAAGCGTTTCAAGCAACTCTCACGACGGCGTTCCACGATCCTGGCTAAGCTTTGAAAAAGGTCTATTGAGTGTGTGAAACTATGAACAGATATCGAATGGTCTCAGGGGAACAAAAAACAACACTCTTAGAAAAAAATGTTCCCGTGCTTTATGACTAAATTTCTCAGGCGGATATATTTCAGACCTCAACGGCTGCTAGGACTTTTAGACCACCACCTTTCTGAAAAAAGAATGGCACGTGATTTCTGATTTTTAAGCGGTAAATTTTTAGAACCAAACAACCTCCGGAGCCGTGTTAACACGATGTGTGGGTCGGTAAAACCGCAACCGCTAAAGGAAAAAAAAAAATGGCAACTGGTGTTAAGGTTCTATCACCGGTAACCGGCGTGGAAGCCGAGTACGCTGTTGACCGAGATACGGATCCAGCACACAGGAACGGGAGAAGCAGAAGCAGTTGGTGTGGGAAAGCTCACGGAGCGGAGAGGGGTGCAAAGCGCACAAAAGTGAGGAGAGAAACAGGTGGTGTTGAAAGAGAGCGCGGAACAAGAAAGGGGTGGAAAGGGCAGGAAAGCGTGCGTCCCGTATCTTGGTGGCTCAGAATATTCAGCGCAAAGGCTTTGTGTTCGCGTGGCGCTGAAGGGAAGCACGAGATGCGTACCAAAGACACAATTTCGGGAAGTAATCTGTTTTCATAAAAAAACACTGCCCCAGGCACCACGCGAACTAAAAATGCCACCCACCCCATAAAACTTCAGCGTTTAAAGGTTTTCGGCAGAATGACGAGACATGAGGGAACTTTTTACATAAATCTATTGACGATTCTATTGGCTGCTCCAAAGAAACTTGGGGTGTTTTTCGACCGTACCAAATAAAACTCTTCGTTCCCATCGTGTATTTGGTTGCTCTGAGCCAAAAAGCACGCGACCTCTTGAGCGCATTCAATATAATTTTCATGCGTCGAATGTGGCAACTTCCTATCGGTAAGTATTTTCAAGCGTGAAACTTTTATTTTGCGATTACTGCTCGAATATCTTTGAGTGAATTCCCTTTGTTTTTGTGGATTTGAAATTTGTTAGTATTGCTGTTTTAGCCATTTTGTGTCCCCTTTCTTCCCTATAAATTTACAGATCATATTTTTTTTTGTGGTCCATGTTCACATCCGATCTAATTTTATTTTCCTCGCGCACCACCTTTTTCTCCAGACTTTTTTGTGTAACACCAATTATTGCCGCGAATGACGAGGTGACGAACGACGAATAACTGATACGTTAAATGGGGCAAACTTGTGCCCAAAACACAAATGAAACAATAGATTACAACAGAGTGTCGCGGGCGTCGAAGTCGGTGTAACAGCAGGATCGAACGCTCGGGCGAAACTGACTCCGGCTCGCCACGCGGAGCACCTTTCGTACCGGCGCGGGTGAGACGAAAAGCAGTACACATGCTTTTATGCTTTGATGATTCTAACAAAAAATTAATGATTCTGACAAAAGGTGCACCTTTCTGTAGGGCTACGGGCTGTCTAGGGGCACCCCCCCCCCCCCAAATAAGAAAGAAGAAAAAGAAAAAAAAACATTTATATTAATAACCTGAGTGGATGAATCTACAAATGAAAACAGACACTTATCCGCAGTTGTGCCCGTAACTAAAATGGGAAAGGTGCCGTACATGCTGCGACGACGACAAAGGTGCGACTAGCCCAATGCTACCAGCCACACATTTTTTACATGGGTTATGCTTCAGACAGTGTTCTTGCCAAGGATAAATCCTACCAAAACGTTGCAGAAGAGCAAAGAAACCAAAAATAAAAAGCTATGCGCAGCAGAAGTTCGTCAACTTCCAGCACTGGGGCTGCGATGATGTCAGAATGCCGTGCTCCTATTGGCTGATTAAAAAATATAGTGGCTAGACCTCAAGGCGTCTTGCATTGAGGTATATCCACTATACTTTAAATCAAAGGCGATCATGCAGAGCTCGACGTCAGTCTCGCGTCACCGCAACTCCTGCGCATATAACAGGCGACTTGCTTCTCGCATACTTTGTTTTCCATTAGGTCCTACAGCAGCAAACGCCGATACCTAATGAAGGTTATAAGCTAGGGATGCCGCGAACTTTTTTCGAATCGAACTTTCAATGATCGAAGGAAGCGGTTCGAAAGGTTCGAAAGATTTCGAATGTTCGAACTTACCATATCGAGAAATTCGACGGTAGTCGAATTTTCGAACTTATTAAACTAAGAAGGTCGTCATTTTTCGAATTTTCAAACTTATTACGTTGCAAAATTCGATGCTTGTCGAACTTTCGACCTTGATAGGCGTAAAAATTCGATGATTTTCCTACTTTTGAATTTCTTGCACTAAAAAGTCGAAGCTTTTCGAACTTTCGAACTTCCTACGCTAAGAAATTCGATGATGTTCGAACTTTCGAGCTTATTAATCTAAAGAAATCGAAAATTGTCGAACTTTCGATTCCTGAAAAGTCAAAAGTTCGACGAACTTCAAACTTTTATGGTAAAAGTTCGAAGTTCGTCGAACTTCGAAAGACCGGCGGGCGGTTTCATTTGGATTTAAGCAGTGAGGTACATCCGTAATTTTTGTTTTCGCAATTTCACATGGGGTGCCGCATTCCTCGCGAAAGACAATGCAGTTTATTTTAATTATCTGGCATGCTTGGTTTTAGAAAAATAGATTTCTGAAGGAGCGAAAAAGGACGACGGGTTTTTGACAATTGTCGTTTGTGCCATATTGGAAGCGCGCTATAGTCGAAGCTATTTACGGTAGAGATGTTGAACTTTTTAAGAATGATCTATATATAGCCTAGGTTAGTGTCGTCTTAAGATATGGTTATTGTTGTTTAAGACCAAAGACAGTACATATCATTGCCATCTGCAGAATACAAAATAATGTATTTATTGTTTTTTCCACGCTGAGGAATAAATTAACTCATGGGGGAAAATTTCTAAAATTGTTCAAATTCAGCGCGTCATAAACAATTTTTTTTTCTCTTTTTACGTTCTTGGGACGTGTTTCTTTTGGCCTGTACACATTTTGGTAGGAGAAACTTGTTTCATAGTGCTGGGCCTCTGAATACGCAAGAATACAACACTTCCGACGGGTTCTTGATAGTTTTTTTTTTCTCTCCAGCTTTTTACTTTTGCATTTATTGTTATGTTTATGTATTGATTATTTTTTACCAATGGCACAGTTATTTAGGTCGAAAAGACATAGCTTTGAACTTTCGAGCCACCGAGCATGTGACGAGTAGTGCCTCCTGACAACGAGTCTCTAAAGGCCTGTTCACATGCAGCGGAGCGCTACAAGCATAGCGCTGACCTCGTGCTAAGCACGTGCCGACGGGAGCGTTTACCAGCTTTGTATCGCACCGTCAAAACTGTTGCTCATGGCGTACGATAAGTACCTGACGGCACGTGAGCAGCGTTACATCAGCGCTTCGCTGCATGTGAGAACCGGTCTTAACAATGACCATCTACGCGATCTTTTATGCAGTGAAGAGCGACAGTGGCTATACATATGCATAAATAATTTCACATTGAAATAGGCTGGACCATGCCCTCCTTCCCCGTATTGTTTTCTTTAACAGTTCGAAATACCTGGGAGGAGGGGGGGGGGGGAGGGAGAGACTGTAGCTCCCCCCCCCTCGTTTTTCCTCTTCGGACGCGACTGGTATGGCAGAACCAACGGTAGAACCCTCCTCGACCTCAAGTTGCGTCAGCTTTTGTGCTTTTTGCTAGGCGTTTCTTCCGCCCAGAAAATAAACCTCCAAAGCAATTACAAACAAAAAAATTGTCAAGGTGCAGGCGAGCTGGTGTGTGTTGATCATCATGCAAAATCCCGAGGCTGGTAAGAAGAAAGAAAAAAGGGGACAGGACAACGTCTCAAACTCAACTGAGTTGAGTTTGAGACGTTGTCCTGAGCTGAGTTTTCTGCTGAGTTGAGTTTGAGACGTTGTCCTGTCCCCTTTTTTCTGTATTAATACACTTTTTCTTTCAAATTTCATTCCCAGTCTCAGGATTTCGCATCATGTACAAACTAAACTTACTATATGCCAGCGTCACTCGGGCGGCGTTCGATCGGATTACTACCAGCGTGCAAGGGGGTACGGGGGCAGTTTGCCAGATCACTCCAAGGTTTTTCCGAACCTCAACCACGTTTCGAACTGGATGAGTATCGTTAAACAGTGCGTTCGTAGGATCACTACTTCGCAATGCGTGTTAATGACCACCACGGGCTGGCGGTCAGAATTACTGATCTATAGTTACGCGTCACTGCACTGACAAATATCCCAGCACATCCGGGGCGCTCGTCGTCTCATTTAATTGCCTGACCAACTTCGCGCAGTCTAAATATCACACCCAAACTTTTCTAAACCTGATTTCGTGAAAACCAGTGAGGCGTGAAAACGTCATTTGAAACTGAAACTCTGGCGGAACATGAAAACCGGACTTCGAACTTGGATTTCAAAAATACCGAAAACCTTCGAAGTTTTTTTTTCGAATTTAGCTTTAAAAGAGAATCGAAAGCTTCGACCTTTTCGAACTTTATGTAGAAAGAAATTCGAAATTTTCGAATTTATCGAGCTTTATGTCTTTAGAAAATTGAAATATTTGAATTTTTCGAATTTTGGATCCAAAGAAATTCGAAACATTCGAATCTATCGAATTTTAAATTAGGAAAGTTCAAAATCTTCGAATTTATCGAACCTCGAGTAAACAAATATTTGAAATAATCGAACCCGAACTTTTAGAAACCGTGAAAGCTTCGAACTTTTCTAATTCGAAACCCCACGATTTTGGAAAGTTGCGAATTTTTCGAATTCGAACCTCTCTACGGTCGAAAATATCGAAACTTTTCGAATCGAACATCAGTTTGGTTCGAAAATATCGAAACCTTTCGAATTCGAACCTAGGGTGGTCCGCGGCGTCCCTATTATAAACCAGCACCAAAAGTTGTCGTGGTGGTCGCATTTTTTTGTTGCTTTTCCTACCACCGGATAAAGCAATCACGTACAATGGATGTGACGTCATTCTTCGCCCTATTCTGTGTGGGATTGGTTTTGCCGATCAAAGTAAAAGCATCAAGAACGACGAGCACACGACCACTATGACAATGCACATTTGATGCAGCTTGGTCGGCTCCACCGGATGGCAGCGTTGGCTGTGGTCGGACATGGAGTGGAACAAAATATCGGTAGCCGGAATTCCAACTCAGTGCTTCCGCTGGAACGGACCCTTAACTTTGTTGTTACCAGTTACGTTTAAACAAAACATTCTCGTTCAGAGCGGGATTACTGGGGTGTCTTCAGTACCCTTTCAAGGGCATGGCGTCGGTGGAGCATAGTATTTAGCAGGAACTGAACCAATGAACCAAGTGCGCTTTCACCACTTGTTTTTCCGGAAAAGACCAATCTCTCAAGATATAGCTAATGAAGAAACGCAAATATCACCTTACCTTTCGGTATTTTTTCCAGTGATCCAAACTTAAGAGTTTCCTTCCCAAACGCATAAAGCTGCTCGACGCGTTGAAGTAAAGCAGGCATTCACCTCCTGGTTTCATCAGGTCGACGATGTTCTTGAATGCCGTTTCTTGATCCCCGATCCAGTGTAGGCAAAAGAAGGAATAGACACGGTCGAAGTGACCGTATCTCCCTACAAAGTCGGCCACCCCGTTCCCTCCAATATCCAGGACATCGTAGCAGATCCTCGGGTGGGCGAAATTCCTCTTAGCGTGTTCCACCATGTCCTGGGACACGTCGACCGCTACTATTCTCCCGACTTTCGGGCAGAGAGGGAGGAGATGGTCGCGGGTGAAGTCTCCAGCGCCGCAGCCCAGGTCCAGGAACTGTTGCTCCTCGGTCTCATCTCTAAACGAACCTCGCATTAATTCCAGAGCCTGGAGATTATCCTTCCGCTGACGGCCATTGTTGTTAACGTAAACTGCAGGATCTATGGTGATCATTCGCTTCATGCTGTGAGTGGTAGGTGCAAGCGTTTCCATTTTGGATCACGGGTGAGCACGACAATGAGTGTTTGTGTCAAGCATCCCGTAAAGTGCGCAAGTATATTAACTCTTCCTCCCTAGAATTTTCACCTGCTATCGCTTATAGAAGCTGAAACAGCTGCCTGTGGTCTTGCTTTCGCAGTTTACTGGAGCACATCCGCTTTACATCTGTGTAGTAGGAAGGCACATGTGTGGAAGCGCTGCGCCTACACTCTTGGAAGAAAGGATATCTATAGTAATCGACAAAGGTAGGAACGCTTTTGTAACCTATATTCCTTTATTAAGGGAGAAACTTTCTTCCTGAAAGCAGGTTAGTGAAGTTCCTCCGTCGCCTGCGTCTTATTGTGGCGCCCCGATTCGAGAAAATCGAGCTCGATAAGGCTTAACGAGGGCGCTATGTCAATTGCACAGAGCGAGAGAACCAGCAAACAAAAGTGTAGCACGATCTTTCCGCGAAATGTATTTATTTCCGAAGCCAGCTTCCCCCCGCAGGTAAAGAGACTTGCGTTTCGAAAGCAGTTACTCTTCACGTCGTCATCACTGACGGCCGGCACCCAGTTACTTTGCGCACTTTACGTCTTACCTTTGCAATTCCTCGAGCCACAATTCCTTCGTCAAGCGCACATTACGGAAGAGTTGTAAACCATTCCCGAAACTAAAAGCTGCTCAAAAAAGCAAGTTCAAAACATATGTTGCACGGTTACCAGAAATTATCGCAAGACGTGAAAATTTTTTTACATCGCTTGCCAGTAGATGCACGGTCAAGCAGAGCAATCGCATGTAGCCAGGCTATGTGGTGCTAGGTACCGCCCCAATTCATGTTCTACAAAAAATATTTTTAGTTGCTCGCGCGTTCATTGGGCTTCGGGACCTTCGGGGATTTTTATTAGACGCATGTAGATACATTACGTATACCGCTAGTACAGTGGGCTAGAGGGATCTAGTGGCGCGAGTGAAGGCCGCTCCCATTGTTCGCTACCGTACCCACTTGCGGCGACAGTAGCGGCGGCGCTGTCGTCGCCCTCACTTGAAGCGCGCTCGCTTCTCGCCGGCTCTTCGCGTATCTGCCGGTCGTGTTTTCGCTCTCTCTTCAAGCACGATGGCTAAAAAAACGCCGTTGAAGCCATTGTTACGAGCCAGTTGGCAAGACTGGATACGCTCGAGTCCAACAGGAGCTTTAACGGCGACTGTGCCGTGTGCGAGGTGCACTTTGAGTCACATTTTATTTGCAGGATTACGTGCAGGTTACTAACGGAACAGAAGTCCGAACTCCAAGAGGAATACCGACGCCTGCTCCTAATGTGTTTCCAACGATCCTGCCCAGCTTGCCCGCATATCTAAGCAAGAAAACTCCAGCTCCAAGGCTCCAAACTAAGCGACGGCAGCTGGTCTCCGCAGGCAACAAGGATACAAGACACCGCAAAAAAGTTGAGACCTCGCCATCCTTCCCCTCCTAAACTAGAAATTGTCTGCACAAGTGCTGCGGTAGTTGAAGTGGCTGCTGGTCTAGCTGATCATTCGCAAGCTCGCGATTTTGACGAGATCGTGGGTGCCGCATGAATCCCCAGGCTTCATTGGAGTCTCCATACATAGCCTGTAGAATTAACTTCCGCACAAACGAACTCACAATTGAAAGGGACGTGTTCTTCAAATGTTTAAATGACGGCAGTGTTGAGTATCAAGTGCTTCTGCTGGACAAGCTAATCGAGGAGTCCCGTTTGATAACCGTGCAAGAAACCAGGAATCTACTACAAAATACTGCGAGGATTCCCCCTTGTTGTAGAGCGGCGGGGCATTCGTCAGTGTCGTCAGCTGAGCTGACAAAAGGACTTCAGGCAGATGCATTCAAGATCAAGAGCCTTGTTCAGTGTGAACTGCTCGGGGACGTCACCAAAAGAAGGTGAGAATAAACTGAACAATCACAATCATTCCCTTAAATACAACTTGAAGGCCACTAATACTTCAGAAGAACAAAACTAATGTAGTAGATAACAGCACTAACATCAAAGCCAATTTTCAAAACTCACACAATATGTCTAGATTTTTAACTAAATGTTCTGAATGTTTCATGAAGCAAAGAGAATAGTGCAATACCTCACATTCGGTGGCCATGATTTTGACACACAGGTTGCGATATGTATAGTTTTGCGTTTAACCGTTATTATATTAAACTAAATTTAACTTTGATTGATTAATTTGTTCTTATTCTTACAGGAGCATCTTGTATAAATTGCAAGTACCTCCGCAAAGCTTTGCAGACAAGAAAATCTCGCCTGAAAAAAAGAACCTCCAAGACAGTCTCCAGCAGAGCCCGCAGACTCCGTGCTTTCAAACAAAAAGTTAGACGGCTGGAGTTTACACTCTTAAAAAAAGAAGGAGTCCAAAGGGAGTCACTGCTTCCATGACTCTCTTTGACACTTCACGACTCTCTTAGAGAGTCAATTTTTCGTGTGACTGTTTTGTGTTTTGACTCTTCCCCTTCTCAACGGGAGTCACAGGTCAGCAGCATTTGCCCTACCGAAAAAAAAGTATGAAGGCTGCTTCGCGGCGTCCAGCCGGCAACCCAAGCCCCGCCGTTTCCGTATGCACCTCTAGAAAGGGAGTCTGACACCATTTAGTTCAAAGCTCTGTCGACATTTTTTTTCAATAATAATTGTGCAAAAATAAAATCAAAAAGGTAAGGAAAAAAATAATGCACAAAGTTTCGTCGACATTCACTTTTCTCAAGAATAATCGTTAAAAAAAATGTTTTTTTTTTTTTTTTTTGCATCGAACCTGGGTTCGCTCCGTAAGAAGCGGGCATCTTTCCACATAGCTACACCTGCGAGTACTCGTTTTGAGAATTCGTTTTATACGAGATTCAACAAGTTTCGCGTCGTGCATATTATTCGAAACCGAATCCTGCGTCGGCATTTTACATATTTCTAGAACTGTCGTGGGGGTGCGTCTCTGGGAGGGAGTGAAGGTGCAGCAGCTTATTCAAGACTACACTCCGTTTCATACGTAGCATGCAACACAGTCAAAGCTAGCGCACCGGTTTGCATCGCCGACCGTGTCTACGTTCACCCCATAAAATAGTGCGTCCCCTGCGAAAACACTTTTAAAAAAGTCGAAAAATGTGCCTCCTTGGAGCTAGCAACTGTTAGTGGTGTTATGATTTCGACGGAGCACAACTTTTTTTCAATAAAAATCAAAAGATAATGAAAACTACTTTAAATTGTTTTCGTTTTCGTCCGTACGGCAGCAGCTGCGGGTTTTCGGGTTGTGTGGCACTGGCTGGTTTTGAGAAGATGGCGTCTTACGCAACTAGCTCAAGTACCTCTCCTGCTCAGATATTTTTGAAGATTCGTTGTGCGCAGACCTTGAAAGAGTGCAAGCAGGTGATCGCCAACGTGTACGCGAGTACAAGAACGCGTTTCCCGGAGAAGTCAGTCGTGAAGTTTTGGAGACGGTCAGTAACGACACCGGAGTGTGCACCCGTACTGTCGCGAAGTACAAGGCGCAGTGTCTATCTGGCAAGCTGGTGTCCCCGAAGCGAAGACCTCGCCATGTAGAAGTTTCGAGCACGGGGACTGTCAAGCATGCCGAATTCACACACAACGCCATTCGCCTGAAGGTGCATCGCAAGTACCCCGAGAGGGGGATTCCTACCTTTGACAGCTATTTCAAATTAAACTGTTCAGGCCGCAACTATTGTCGATTAACGTCCTATTCTAAATTTTGGGGCAAGGCTGCTATCAGTGAAATTCCTCATTCCACGCTGCACGAAAAAAAATAAATATAACTCGGTGCTTTAGGCAAATAACACTTGCAAAGCGGCAGAGCAGATGGTAGAAATGCGGCCTCTCGGCGACTTATAAATAAAAAGAAAGAAGAAAGGAGGAATTGAAATATTCAGTTCGGCAATGCGCACAATCTTGCACAAAAAATGTCTAAAAAAGAAAAAAAAAAGAAAAAAACTGCGCGTCTATAGTGGGTTCGAAGCACTGCCGCCGAGACATCGGTATCGCCAAAGCAGCCCTACCACTCGTCCACGAAACGCGCCCAGGAACACATTTTTTTTTTCTGTATTTTCATGCGCACCACTTCAGTACCTTTGACAGCTTTGCACGCTATGTATGAAAATGAGTATAAGTGCCCATTTCGAGAACCACACCACCACACTGCAAGTTGAAGCAACGCCGAAGGCTCGCGTCTCGCAGCGCCGCCTGTTGAATAACCATTCGAAGAGTTTGCACACAGTGAAGGTAAGAGCGCTCACACCGAAGAGCTCTCTAAAGCGCGATCCAAACCAACGCTTCTTTTTGCGCCTGTAGGTCGTGCGGCTGCGGATGTGACATATTTTCGTGACGTCGCGCCACTTCTTCGCTCCTTCCGGGCGCGCACAAGAAAGTTGGATAATTTCAACTTCTTCTCAACGCGCACAAAAACGCGCGGTGACGTAGTAGGACGCTCCTGTGTCCCGGCCAATCGGTGGAGGGCAAGCTAGTTCCGGCTCCGCGTTTCTCGCCGTCTGGCTGCCCTCTCCTGTTGGAAGAGAATAAAAAGGGGGGGGGGGTCCGAACACCCGGCTTCGAGAGCCGGCAGTTCGGACCCGCCGACCTTAGTTGTCGCCCGTCGTTCAGAGCTCACAGTCGGAGCCCGTGTCCAGGCCTGCGGATCGCCCTTCCCACGCCAGTGCTGCGTAGGCTAGCTGTTCCGGTCTATCTCAGCCAGAGTCTCGCTGCGGAACCACTCCG